CATGTTTACGTGTATCTGTGAAAACATGTTTATGTGTATCTGTGAAAACGTTCATGTGTTTCTGTGAAAACAAATAAAGCCAGGGTTCCATGCAGCAGTGCACGATCATCAAGTGTCACTCCACTGCTGCCCTGTCAGCAGTTTAGTGACACTCATCTTAACACCATGCTTCAAGGAGTTTCATACATACTCCAGCATGTCTAAAACATTGCTGGGACCTATAAATACTCTGTATATATTCCTAGGCCTAGGTTTGATTTCCAGCCAGAGTAGAAACATTGGGCATGTTTCTTTCCACCTGCTGCCTATGTTCCCCATCAGTAAAATGGGTACCTGGGTGTTAGCCAACTGGTGTGGGTCGCATCCTGGGACACTGACCTAATTTGCCCGAAATGCTCAGCATAACAAGGGGCTTTCTATATAGCAGTATGTCATTGATGTCAGCTAGGCTTGTATACCACGTACATGTACTTGTAGTAAATAAAGATATTATTATTATTATTATTATTATTATTATTATTATATTATTATTATTATTATTATTATTATTATTAAATTGCAATTATCAGAACACAAAAATTGTATAAAATATAAAAACAAAACAAAAAAAAAAGTATATCGGCAACACTTCTGCAAGCGGCAGGACTCCATGTTGCCGTCAGTCTTTTATCTCAGTAAGTACTGGTCCTAAATTTTTTTTTTTGGTCTTATTGCACACAAAAAAATTGCCCTATTTATTTATTTTTTTTTTTTTTTCAAAATATTTGGAGTGTTGGGTGAGAGAACATAGATCTAGATTGGACAGTTAATGGGTAAAATAAGAACTCCAACACTAAGTAAAGTAAGAACAAATCTGAGATTACAGAAGTTCTATATAATTAGTAAGAAATGTTATGAGACCAGATTATATGTACTTAAAAAAAATACCACTTACTAGAGCATTTTTGCTGATCTGTGTTGAGGCGATATCCAATATCACAGGCACAGCGGTAGCCTAGACCAGATGATGCATGTGTTATGATGCACAGGTGGTCACATCCACCATTTGTACTTCCACCATTACTTGAGCAGGGATTTGCAACTGAAATCATAAACATTTTATAAACTACATATACAGTAGGGACCCATTTATATGGCAGATTAAGTTCCTGGCTACTGCCGTAAAGCGGAAATCACCGTAAAGTGGAACGCCTTTTTTTTCCACTTACAAATGCATATAAATGCTAGATAACAAGTTTACACTAACATATATTAAGTTATCAATGGAACTAGGCATTGAAAACAATAAAAAGTAACATGCACACACAGTACACTCATTACTTACCTTAAAATATCTGTAGTCTTAATGTAGGGTGAGAGGTGAGTAGTATTTATTTTGTAGGAAGTCAAGTGTAGAAGGTATGGTAGCCAGCCAGGCCAGGCCACCCACATGTAATATACTACAACATTTAAAGCTCGCTTGAGTGATAAAATGCATATACAGCACACTCATTACTTACCTTAAAATATTTGTAGTCATAATGGTCTTAATGTAGGGTGAGAGGTAGGTAAACAGTATAAAAATTAATAAACGAGAGAGAGAGAGAGAGAATAAGATAAGATTTTCTTCAGACTTTTAACCCCGGAGGGTTAGCCACCCAGGATAATCCAAGAAAGTCAGTGTGTCATTGAGGAATGTCTGTCTTATTTCCATTGGGGTCCTCAATCTTGTTTACCAGTGAGCGACAGTCCCCTCACTTACTCATACGAAATATTTCATAATACAGTATTCCATTCATTTTAGTGCTTGCAACTACTAAATAAGCTACCATGGCTCAAAGAAAGCTCCTAGTGCCAAGCCTTTGGTAAAGAAAGTAAGAAATATGACTGAACTTAAGAAAAACATCATTGAACAATATGAAAGTGGCATACATATGGCCGAACTGGCCAGGATGTATAACAAACCTCATACAACCATAGCTTCCATCGTGGCCAAGAAAAAGGAAATCAAGGATGCTGTTGTTGCAAAGGGGGTAAATATGTTGACAAAAATGAGATCACCAGTACTCGAAGAGGTTGAGAAGTTATTATTGGTGTGGATAAACGAGAAACAACTAGCAGGAGATAGTCTTATGATGTCGATTATTTGTGAAAAGGCTAGGCAGTTGCACAACGATTTGGTAAAGAAACTGCCAGAAAATAGTGGTGATGTGAGTGAATTTAAGGCCAGCAAAGGTTGGTTTGAGAGATTTAAGAACCGTACTGGCATACACAGTGTGGTAAGGCATGGTGAGGCTGCCAGTTCGGACCACAAAGCGGCTGAAAAATATGTGCATGAATTCAAAGAGTACATAGAGGCTGAAGGACTGAAACCTGAACAAGTGTTCAATTGTGACGAAACAGGCCTCTTTTGGAAGAAAATGCCAAAATGGACCTACATTACTCAGGAGGAAAAGGCACTCCCAGGACACAAGCCTATGAAAGACAGGCTGACGCTCATGTTCTGTGCTAATCCTAGTGGGGATTTCAGAGTGAAGCCGTTACTAGTGTACCATTCTGAAAATCCCAGAGTGTTCAGGAAAAACAATGTTATGAAGAGTAAATTGTGTGTGTTTTGGAAATCTAATAGTAAGGTATGGGTCACGAGGGAAATTTTCGTCGAGTGGTTCAATGAAGTGTTTGGCCCTAGTGTGAAGAATTACCTCCTGGAAAAGAAATTGAACCTCAAGTGCCTCCTAGTAATGGACAATGCACCTGCTCATCCTCCAAACTTGGATGATCTAATTTTCGAGGAGTTTGGGTTCATCACAGTAAAGTTCTTGCCCCCGAATACCACTCCTCTCCTCCAGCCCATGGACCAGCAGGTCTTTGCAAACTTTAAAAAACTCTACACCAAAGCAATGTTTCAAAGGTGCTTGAATGCGACCTCAGACACTCACTTGACTCTAAGAGATTTTTGGAGAGAACACTTCAGCATCCTCCATTGCATAAGCCTTATAGGTAAGGCTTGGGAAGGAGTGACTACCAGGACTTTGAACTCTGGTTGGAGAAAATTGTGGCCAGATTGTGTCCACAAGAGAGATTTTGAAGGGTTTGGGGCTGACCCTGATGAGCCTATGTCTGTTGTTAAATCCATTGTGGCACTGGGGAGTTCCATGGGGGTTGGATGTGAGTTTGGAGGTTGTGGAAGAGTTGGTGGAAGACCACAACAAAGAGCTCACCACTGAGGAGCTGCAAGAGCTTCAGCAGGAACAGCAACAGATCACAGCTCAGAATCTTGCTGCAGAGGAGGAGGAGGAGGAAGAGAGATGGAAGAAGGTGCCTTCTTCAGAAATTAAGGAGATTTTTGAAATGTGGGGTAAGATGGAAAGATTTATGGAGAAACATCACCCTGACAAGGCTGTTGCAAGCCATGTTGGCAACATGTACAGTGACAAAGTCTTGGGTCATTTTAGGGAAGTGTTAAAGAGATGCCAGAAACAGAGCTCTCTGGACAGTTATTTTGCGAGACAGGACTCCAGTGACTCTCAAGCTGGTCCTAGTGGCATTAAGAAACAGAGAAGAGAAGTAACCCCAGAAAAGCAATTGGTACCTGAGGTGTTGATGGAAGGGGATTCCCCTTCCAAACTGTAAATAGTCCGATCTCTCTCCTCCTCCAGTCTTCCGTACACTAAGAAGAATCTCCAATAAAGGTAAGTGTTATGCTGTTAACGTTTCATTCATCATGTGCCATTGTATTGTTTATGTACTACATCTATATTTCATGTAAAAAAAATTTTCGTTTTAGTACTTCTGGGTGTCAGGAATGGATTAACTGTATTTACATTATTTCTTATGGGGAAAATTTATTCGAAAATCGTAGATTTCGATAATAATAACACTTCCAGGAACGGATTAATTATGATAAACGAGGGACCACTGTACATCGAAATATTTCCATCCCACCAGGAATCAAACCCGGGCCCTCCGTGTGTGAAGCGCCACCAGGCGCTGGGACAGAGAAGAGAGAGGAAGTGAGTCGTGGAGGATGTAAACAAACGGATGGCGTCTGGTTCAGGTTGATACACGTTCATCTACACCTAACATCTCATATTTATGTTAATTTATTCTACTGTGGGGGTGTATTTATCATGTTTATATGTTACATAGCATGTTTATTATATGATTTTGAAAAAAATATCATAGATGTATTAATGAATATGTTTATATTAACATAATATACAACATATAATGCGCCTCAGAGTGATTATTGCATATTATTATCATTATTAATATGGCATCCTCAAGACTAATACGACACTCTTAGTGATTTTAATGTGTACCTGCATGCCAGCACAGTGTTTAAGTTTATTTAGGTACAGGTACACATAAGTATAATTATCAGAGTATACATAAAGCATGAAATAACTTTAACCCTTTCAGGGTTGGTGCCATACTAGTATGGCTTGCACGCCAGGGTTGGTGCCATACTAGTACGCATAAATTCTAGCGGCTTCAAATTAAGCAGGAAGCAGCTGGTAGGCCTAAATGTGAGAAAATGGGTCTGCGTGGTCGGTGTGCGCGGTAGAAAAAAATTCTGGGACCCAGTGGTGCATTGTGGGAACGCCATTTTAGTAGACCTTGTTCACCATGCCTCGTAGTAAGAAGCCCCTCACTCCTCGGTGAATTGGGACACTTTTGTTCCCCAGTGACAGTTCTAATACAGATGGAAGTGCCAGTGAAGATGAGTTTCAAGGTTTTGGTGAGGTTGTGACCGAAACTAATGACCATAATGCCGGTAACAATGAGGAAAACCCAGATGACCCTCAGCCTTCCACCTCTGCTGCTGGGCCGTCTTGTTCACATTCAGTTGTACCAGAATCAAAGAGGAAACTCTTATTTTCCCAAATCCTGGACTCAGATGTGAGCATTAAGAACTTAAGAACATAAGAAAGAAGGAACACTGCAAAAGGCCTACTGACCCATGTGGAGCAAGTCCATGTCCCCCCCAGATTAGCCCAATGGCCCCCCCCCTCGGGAGTAGCCCAATGCCCCCCCCCTCGGGATTAGCCCAATGACCCACCAAGTCTGGTCACCTCCACTCAAGGAAGGAGCACGGCACCAGACCCAGCAGCACAAGCTAGTCAGGTCCAACTCACACCCACCCACACCCACCCACACCCACTCATGTATTTATCTAACCTATTTTTAAAACTACAAAACGTTTTAGCCTGAATATCTGTACTCGGGAGTTTGTTCCACTCATCCACAACTCTATTACCAAACCAGTGTTTTCCTATATCCTTCCTGAATCTGAATTTTTCCAACTTGAAACCATTGCTGCGAGTCCTGTCTTGGCTGGAAATTTTCAGCACGCTATTTACATCCCCTTTATTTATTCCTGTTTTCCATTTATACACCTCAATCATATCCCCCCTAATTCTACGCCTTTCGAGAGTGTAGATTAAGGCCCCTCAGTCTATCCTCATAGGGAAGATTTCTGATACATGGGATCATCTTTGTCATCCTCCTCTGTACGTTTTCCAGAGCGTTAGTATCCATTCTGTAATACGGTGATCAGAACTGAGCAGCATAGTCTAAATGAGGCCTAACCAAGGATATATAGAGTTGAAGAACAACCTGAGGACTTCTATTATTTATACTTCTAGATATGAGGCCAAGAATTCTGTTAGCTTTATTGCGAACACTAATGCACTGTTGTTTTGGTTTTAGATTACTGCTAACCAGAACTCCTAAATTCTTTTTGCAATCAGTAGTATTAAAATCTACATTGTGATGAATGGTTTGAAAAACCGACAAGTTGAAGATTGAGACACTTATGCAGCATATGGGAATCTTTATTCAGGAAACGTTTCGCCACACAGTGGCTTCATCAGTCCAATACAAAGAGGAAGGCGTAAGGAAAGGAGGAGTATGAGGTAATCAGTCCCTCAGCCTGGAGTCGATGTGTTCAGTCCATCAATCTTGTAGAATGTACAGCATAGGGCCGTAGACGTGGCTTATATACTGTAGTGAGGTGACTTTAAGCAGACGGAGGCGGGATCATAGTGGTATCATCCACTAATCGAAGTAGGTCTTTGTCCAAAGGTTGAACAAGCGTTG